GCTAAGCAGTGGGCCTACCCTGTCCTTGGTCTTCCTCTTGCTTTTAATGTATTTATAAAAGGTCTTCTTGTTTCCCTTTATGCCTGCCACAACCTGAAGACAAAGATGGGAAGTTAACATTCCACTTGCCCACCTATTTCATTTATAAAATAGTCCAGATTCCTTCATTTCCCCTCCCACCATTATTCTTGGATCTTCTGTTACAATGATGATCTGGATGCAGAGGACTGACCTATGGCAATAAAATTAATGTTATTACTATTAAATTGAGGAAATGTGATTATATATTTCCTCTAACACTTAAGGTCGGATACACAATTTCTTCAGAATGACTATATTAATCAAAACTTCTAAAACAAGCTGTCATACTCTCTAGAGTGGCTCACAGCTGTGAGGGTTTCCCTCAAGGCAAACTGTCAGAAAGTAGAGCAGACACTCCAAAACAGTGTATATTCTATACTGTAATTCGATTTCACCAAGTCAATAACAAATGTGAACTCTTAGATCATTATACCAGTTCTACCGTAGAGTCACAGACAGTTCCTTCAGACTCTCCTGTCTATACTGCCACCCAGGCAAATTGAACTTTGTCATAAAATGTTCTTTAAATGAAAAACAAACAAACAAACCACACACCACATCAGGTAGTTCCTGGTCCCAAGAGACCAGTGATTTACTCCAGATAAGTTGGTACACTAGGTCTTACACCAAAGACTACACTGGCAGCCAATTCTATAATAAATGAAGTCTAGATTTGAGAGTTATTGAGCAGGTAAAATATATTAATAGGAGAGTCACAGTTTGTAATTCCAAATGGTAGCAGTGATGTAATAAATTGCCCGGTTTCCCAAAAGTGTTTCAATATACCCAGCTTGTCTTTGGGGAACTCCTCTTTGCATATAATATATTTCACTGTAAGAATCCAAACAGTTCAGAGATGAAGGATCTTTCTTTAAATCCATTTATATATCTTCTTCTGACAGAATATGAGCTCGTAGTATCTCTACACCTCTTCCAGTAAGCTTTTTCTTTCATGAGACTAATTAATGCACTTAGTGTTTTGATTTCTGACCATGGTTCATAATGACCACTTGCTTTGAAATTAGCATTTTCTCTAAAAGTTTGTATGTCCTTCATTATCATTTCCCAAGATTTACTTAGTTTTTAGGGTAATGCAAAATGTAAATATTTGCTATTACACTTTCATTGGAACAGACAAGCAAAAACAATACAAGAAACATTCCACTAGTTTTCATGACGTTTAAACACCTGAATACACTCTTTGATTTACCCTCATTTTGATCTATTCTAATACACTAGCGAATTGGCCTATGATACTGATCTGAACTGCTCTGCCAGCATCATACAAGACAAGAAAGATTAAATAAAAATCACATCCTTATAAGAAAGTGGAGACGAATTAATACACAGGCAAAGGAAAAGATAAGATTCTGCCAGAAGAGCATGATCCAATGTGGTTTTTCTAAAACAAAGGTGGGAAACCTTTTTTGGGTTGGGGAAACTGACCAACAGAAAAATCAGTCAGGGGCCACACATAAGTGAGAAGCAGAACCGCCCCTCCCCCCCACAATGGCCCCTGACTGAGAAGGAGAAAGACACTCCCCACGTTCCTCTTGCACACCAGAGCCTACTGGGGTCCAGTCTAGTGGATTTTGTGTGCTACAGCCCCCAGGGGAACAGCAGGGGGGCTGTAGCACCAGCATGGGCTCTCCAATGCTGAGGAGGGACCCGGAGCCTCGGGGGCCAGATCCAGGCAAGCCGAGAGCCGCATTCTGCCCCCGGGCCTGAGGTTCCCCACCCCTGTTCTAAAACATTCAAAGTGAACAGATAAAAAATGATACATAACCATTGTCTCCTCAGGATTATATTTTTGCATGCATATCCATGAAATGAACCTCTGATCATGGTGAGCGTCTCCATAATGAAATGTAGTTAAAACACAAAACAAGAAAAACTACATACTAGTAAGATATAAAGGAACAAATCAAATCTGCTTTAGAGCCACAGTAACTTTAGACTGTTTAAAGTGTATCTATAGAAAGCTTCCCATTGTAACTAAAGCCATCATCCTACAAATGCTTAAATAACATGTGTCTTCACTCATGAGTACTATTACACACATACTTAAATATTTTCAGGACTGGAGATTTCAGGGCTTTTTTTATGGGTTCTTTGAATGCTTTACACAAAATCAGCTGACTTTTTTTAATCTGATGCAGTTTAGGGGCAAATATTGTTCCTACACCAGTGGATCAATTATGCTTCTGAATCAGATTAACACAAAACATAGATTAGGAATGTTAAAACAATTAACTGGTTAAATGATAGCAATTAACTGGTTAACCATTTTAACTTAGGTCCTGCTGCCTGGTCCACCATGGCCGTGACCATGGGGTCCCTCCGTGGCTGGGATTCTGTGATCCGGCTCACTAGCCTGGCCAATGCTGGTGCTGCTCTGGCCCAATGCAGCTGACCACTGCCAGAGTTAACCTGCTTCATGCTTCCCGGTTAACCAGTTAATATCTATACCAAAGACTGGATTAATTTTTCTATGTGCATAATTTATCAGGTAGATTCACACAGCCGTAGAATTAACACGCGAGGAAGTAACATTTCTTTTAATTATCTTTTTTTCTATTTTCCAACAACCTTGAAAACACCCTGTGTGCCATTTGTTGCCTAGAAATCAATTTACTGTTAATACCTGATTCATTGGAGCCTTGCACATGGTTTAATTATTTACTCCAGAACAGGATGCAAAATAAATCTAAAAAGCTACTAAATAAGAATGGAAGCATTTTACAATCACTCTGCACAGGAGTCCATGACAGCCTAAGATACAGGGACAATGATGAATCAGGCCAAATTATTTATAATTTTGTAGTAAAGTTAAAGACAGTCTTGATAATGTTTGGTAAAGTTCACTGTACATTGGTGCAGGGGCGGATGAGAGTGCCGCAGGGCTCTGGGCAGCACAATTTTGCGGGCGCCCCTCTCCTTTGACACGGCACATGCGCCGTGGCGCCACGGCGCATGCGCAGGGCTTCTGCAAGCGCGGGGTCCGGGGCAGCCACCCCGCTCGCCCTGCCCCAAATCCGCCGCTGCATTGGTGGCTATCTTTATGTGAATTAGTGAAGCAGATGGTTAATTATATTCCAGGCAGAAGCTAGGCTCCACACATCCTGAACAATGGAACCAAATTGATCACAGAAATTTCTGTAAAATCCTGCAGATTCCCTCATTTCATTCACCATTATTCTTGGGCCTGCTGTCACAGCTGAAAAGTGGTGAATCCAGGTCCCTCTGCAGCCTGTTGGCAATGTTCAGAGCAGCAGTCATTTGCTTGAGAAATCATGAACTCCAAGCAGATTCTGACAACATTTTAAACACTGAATCAAAACTAACTTTTACTCCTAAAACTGGAAGCTGAAACCACAGAAGCAGAGGCTGGATCTATTCCTAGAGACTTCATCGCAGGATACACATATTTAATAAAATATTAATCTAAATTCCCAGAGACTCCAGGACAATTCGGGACCCTGCACTCCATGGCTAAGTCTACACTACGAGTTTTCTCAGCAAAAAATATGCTAATGAGGAACTCTCTCATTTGCATATTTTCTGCTGATCCATTTTTGCGCTAGGATTTTTGCGCAAAAACACTCAGTGTGTATTTTTTCTTTTTGTGCAAAACCCCCTTTTCCCGCAAGATCCATATGGGAAATAAGGATCTCACGGAAAAAGGGGGTTTTGCGCAAAAAGAAAACGTCTAGGCTACGTGTAATCTGCAAGGTTTTTGCGCAAAAACCCACAGAGCGTCCACACCTCAAATGTGCTCTTGCACGAGTAAATCGACAGTAAAACGGCAGAACAGTGGGCTTTTTCCTGCATAGATAAACCTCCTTTTACGAGGCATAACTCCTTTTTGCACAAGAGTTCTTGCGCAAAAAGGCAAATGGGGACACTCCACAGGGGTTTCTTGCGCAAGAAAGCCCTATGGGAAAAAGCACAGGTGCTCTGATGGCCATTCACAGAATGGCCATCAGAGCTTTCTTGCACAAGAGCGTCCATGCAGTGTGGACACTCTCTTGCGCAAAAGCACATTACTTTTGCAATGCACTTGAGGTGTGGACGTGCTCTTGCACAAAAACTCTTCTGCAAAAGGCTTCTTGCGCAAGAAGCCTGCAGTGTAGAGGTAACCTCACACTGCTTGATTTTGCAAAAACAGATGGGTAGAACATATGCAAATGAGGTCACAACTCATGCAAATGAGTCCCTCATTAGCATATTTTTTGCCAAGAAAACTCATTGTGTAGACATAACCCTAGTGTTGTTCACTGTCCCATGCAGTGAAACCAAGACCGCAGCAACAGCTAAGACCCTGAACCAGTAGCGTACACAATAGAAAGCGTCGGGTTGCCTTAACTGTAGGCGTGGCTGTCTCCTGCCTACGAGTTGGCTAGTAGACTCCAAACAGAACATGCCTAAGCTGCAAGAGGCAGGGGATGCTAGATCCTCCCCCCACGACGTCGCGTGGCTCCCCCTGTAACTTTAGGTGCCGCTGGGGAATTGGGCTGCTCTCCGCGTGCGTGGCAGCTCCCGGGCCGGGGAGGCGGCGCTGGGTGTGCAGCAGGGCGGGGAAGCCCTCGCTCCCGTGGCTGGAGTCACCCCACCCTCCTGCCCCCTAAGCTGCAAGAGGCAGGGGATGCTAGATCCTCCCCCCACGACGTCGCGTGGCTCCCCCTGTAACTTTAGGTGCCGCTGGGGAATTGGGCTGCTCTCCGCGTGCGTGGCAGCTCCCGGGCCGGGGAGGCGGCGCTGGGTGTGCAGCAGGGCGGGGAAGCCCTCGCTCCCGTGGCTGGAGTCACCCCACCCTCCTGCCCCCTAAGCC